CATTGTGGCATCCTGTGGCACCCTGTGGCATGCTCTGGCACCCTGTGGCACCCTGTGGCATGCTCTGGCACATTGTGGCACCCTGTGGCATGCTCTGGCACCCTGTGGCACCCTGTGGCATGCTCTGGCACATTGTGGCACCCTGTGGCATGCTCTGGCACCCTGTGGCATGCTCTGGCACCCTGTGGCAGCTAGCGGCTGTCACTTCCGGTGGCAGCTACCACTGCCACAAATTGCGCTCGGCCCTGCTGTGTCAGTTAGAATCAGTCACAAAATGCATCACGAGGAAAAAAAATGACACATATGAGTCGCTCTGGAGCATAAGTCGCAAGACCAGACAAACTATGAAAACAATTGCTAACTGTAGTCTGTGAAATATGGTGTGCATTTTTCTAATGTACAATCTTGACCTGGTTTCTTTTAAATAAATGTTTTTCTCTTTGTTAATTATTTATATTATTACAGATTATGTTGACTGTGTGAAACCTTTTCTCTGCTGCAGGATTTGGAGGAGGAGGAATTCTCTTTGTGTACCATAGAGTTGGAGAGGATGTTGTTTTGCCTTGTAGCTTCCCTTCGTCTTTCCACAGATGCTCCACAGTTGACTGGTTTTATCAGAGAAATGTAAACATGAACACACAGATAAAGATTCAAAGTGGAAAAGTTATTCAGAGTTCACTTCAAGATGCCAGGCTGAGTTTGAACAGTGAATGTTCTCTGGTCATCAACAACATCACAGCTGAGGATGCTGGACGTTACACCTGTCGAATCTGGGATGGATTTATTTCTGAGAACATTGTGTACGTGAACATTTTGGCCAGTGAGTATTTGATATTGACTACAGCGRGTTCTGATGTTATCAGTCCATTAAATGGACGTTATTCGCCGTTATCAGTCCCATAGAATGGCTTCAGTCTGTCCCGACAGTGCCACCTAGTGGGTTAATATATCAATGACATTGAATGTGTAAATAACAAAAACATATTTTAATGGTTTTTTTGTCCGGGGTTGGGGGTGGTTTTCTTGCTGCCTGTGCCTGGTCTCGATCCTGCTCTCTGGTCCAGCACTCTGCCCATTGGCCTACGTTGGGCCTGCAGCAATGGTGTACTTTAGCTTAGCCCATGTCATTTTCTCTAAAATTAACCTTAGTGGCTTTATGCCTCATATTAACCAGATTGCATGAAAAACCTTAGTGACTTTATGCCTCATACTAACCAGCCGGTTCGGACGTTATCAGTCCATTCTGTAGGACGGAGAACCCACCAGGAGCCACAGTCGGGACATTCTGAATCCATTCTATGGGACTGATAACGACTAATAATGTCCATTTAATGGATGATAACATCCACATCGGGTGATTAACTACATGTCTTTTGTGGACAGTCCCTGTAGAACCAAAGTACAATCTGTCTGCATTCTTGGTACAATGTTGAACTTGTTCACGGTGCAGGTTGAACACCACCAGGACTTAACTGTATCTGAGGGATTGTATATTTATTAAATGTGGATATTTCCTTTTATAATTAATGTCACCTCTTAACTGTTATGTTTTTACAGAAAACTCAAGTAAAACTGAGACAGACAAAATGGATATTAGGTGTTTTATCTGTTACCAACAGCTTGTATTTGTTTTCTTTCAGTTTCTCCGAAAGATACTGATCCAGCAAATGATGGAGCTTTTCTACTGAAGTGTTCTCTGTGGAGATACAGTGAGACTGGTTATTGTCCAGAGAATAGCTTTAACTGGGTGGATGAGACAGGAACTGAGCTGTTTGGTGAAGATGCTGGGTACAAGTTCAATGAACAAACAAGTTATCTGAGTGTGAAGCATCAAAATGTCCAAAACAAAACTTTCAGCTGTCGGTTTGTTGAAAGAAAAAGTGTGAAGATAGAAGTTCACTACATCTTAATCTCTACAGGTACAATGAATTTTATTAATAAGTAAAATGTTGTCATGATCTGCGTTTTTGTCTTTATTTTCTTAGTGTTTTTCTGCTCCCCAGTGTTTTCCTCTCCCTGCTGTTTTACCTCCAGCCCCGCCCATGCACACCTGATTCTTCTCGTGTCTACACAGGTGTTTCTCTTTTACTCTTAATTTGTTTGCTTTATATTCTGGGTCTTGTCATTTGTGTCTTGTTGGATCATTGTGCTCTGTACCTGTGCTTTGTTTTGTCCTTTGTTCAGTCCTCCAAGTCTCTRTAAGCACTGAGAATTTTTGAGCTGCACYGACAACCTTTTGTTTTCATTAAAGCTTTTTGTTACATTTTGAACCTGTCCTGCACCCTGGGTCATTTGCCTGCTGAAATCTTGTAAGAATGATCCGACCACACACCCAGCCTGTAAGGAGAGGTTTTTTTGGTCTGCCTCTCTATGAGGCAGATATTTTTGTTTCTCCACCTGGACCCCACACAACCGGCTCTCATTTTGAAGAGACATTCGCGACCCTGCCTTTGTGGGAGGAAGAGAGGACGCACCCCCGATCAGCAGCTCACTGATCATCTTCCGGTGGTCCCCCACTCTCCATTCCAGGCTCCTGCTCTGCCGGCAAATTGAGAGTGTTCTGGTGGCTCGTCCAGATCTGCTGTTCTTGTCTGGCCATCAGTAGCTCCCCTGCTTCACTCGGAGGGTTCTGGCTGAGCAACTCACCACCCACCCTCCCTCCCCTCCTGTTGTGTCTGCTTCTGGGTCTTCTGAATCTGTTCCTGAGTTTCCTGGATTGGTAGTCCCAGTTCCACAATTGTTGGTCCCGGTTCCACAATCGGTGGTCCCAGTTCCTGAGTTGATGGTCCCAGTTCCTAGTTGGTGGTCTCGGTGGTCCCTGGGTTGGTGTTTCCACAGTCTGTGGTTCCGGAGTTGGAGGTCCCGGAGTTGGTGGTTCTGGTGGTCCCCGAGTCGGTGGTTCGACAGTCGGTGGTCCCGGTGGTGGTCCCTGAGTCAATGGTTCCTCAGTCGGTGGTTCCAGAGTCAGTAGTCCCGTTGGTGGTCCCAGAGTCGGTGGTCCTTGAGGTTCGTGACTCGGCTACCGGCCCTTCCACTTCATCTGGGTCAGTTGCCATTGCCTCCTCATCGCCTGGGTCATCGCCCATCACCTCCTCATTGCCTGGGTCGTCGCCCATCACCTCCTCATTGCCTCTGTTGCCTGCATTTGCTGTCGCTGACACTCTGGCTCCGGCAACCTCCGCTGGCTCTTTGTCTGCTTGTGTCTCCTCCCTTGGCTCTTCATCTTCTCCCGCCACCTCCCTTGGCTCTTTGTCTGCTCCCACCTCCTCTCGTGGCTTCTTGTCTGCTCCCACCTCCTCCTGTGGCTCCTAGTCTGCTCTGGTGGCTCAACGTCTGCTCCCGCCTCCTCCCGTAGCTCAACGTCTGCTCTCGTGGCTCAACRTCTGCTCCCGCCTCCTCCTGTGGCTCCTCGTCTGCTCCCGTGGCTCAACGTCTGCTCCCGCCTCCTCCTGTGGCTCAAGTTCTGCTGCTGTTCTTGCGGGGCCTCTCATTGGATGGTCTCTTGGCCGTCCTCCAGACCTTCTGCTTTGTGTGGGGCGGTCTCCTGGCYGTCCCCCTGAACTTTGTGTGTGTTTGAGTTCCCCTGTCTTGTGTTCGTGATTCCCTGAGTCCTGTACCTCTCCCTTTTTCGATGTCAGGAGCCATCGTTTAAGAGGGGTACTGTCATGATCTGCATTTTTGTCTTTTATTTTTTTGGTGTTTTTCTGTTCCCCTTGTTTATCAAATGATGTTGGAAACAACTCTTAGCTGTTTTAACCTGAAGGACAGAAAATAACTTGAACCTGCAGTCCAATGAGTCACAAATACATCATTTATGTATTATACTGTAAGAAAAATGTGATCAATAATTGAAAGTTGGGATAAGTTTGTCAAAACTAAGTTGATTCTCTTCTAAAATCTTTATTTAAAAAACTCCATTCAGTGAACTCACAGCCTGTCTAGCACGTGTGTGTTTGAGGCCTTGGGTCTTATCARAATCATAACAAGAACAAAGTAAGATCCCTCTCATCTGCTTGGTTCAATTCAATTCAGTTTTTTCATATATAACGCCAGGTCACAACTTACGTCATCTCAGGGCACTGTACATGAGAAGAAAAAACAATCTAAAGAAGAATCACTTTGTCACAGTCTGCCATCCTGAGTATCAGACAGTGGAGAGGAAAAACTCTGTTAAACAGGAAGAAACCTCCAGCAGAACCAGGATCAGGACAGGAGGCCACCTGCTTCGCTGACTAAGGACTGCCTCATACGACTACTTCAGACTTCAGTGTATCTACAGAATAGAACATCCTGGTCACTCACTGAGGGTGGCATCTTTTACGTCAGACAATGGAATCTTAATCAAGATTTGTTGATGTCACAGAGTGGGACATATTGAAAGAGATTTACTCTTTCTGTTCAAAGAATTTGGCTGCAACTGATCACTAAGTGTCAAATATAAGACTGGATCTAAAATTCAGTTAGTTAGCCACAAACTTCTCTTCAATAATTTTACCATTTATTCCTTCATCACACAGGAACTGATCATTTCAAACCTGATATCAAAATGTTCCATGCCTGGTCTCCTCTAAAGTCCATCACATGGACTCTGCGCCTTGCAGCACTGATCCTAATGATTGGAGTCACTGTTGGTCTCATCAGAACCAGAGGTGAGATGCTTCAGATCAGAACAGATCCAGTCAACAAATATCCGAAGCTTTCAACTCACATTAATCTCTGTGTTTTCAGGATGTAAGAAGCCGTTGAAAGAACCCAACGTAAGTAAAAAAACTGAACTCCAGTGCTTTGAGGTGTAAACTAGGAGGCAGACCAATGTGTCAAAGTGTGTGAGGAGGTTGGAGAGGCTGGAAGGTGCTGGTCCACTGGACTGTGGCTCCATGTAAGCTGCTTGGAGCCACATCAGGTCCAGGATTGTCCAAATGTCCCAGAACATGTTGAAGGTGAAGGAAGCAGAAACAGAATGAAGTCAGCAGGAGACAGAAAGTCCCACAAACACAAGAATCCAGCCTAGTGTCAAGTGAAGCTGCTGTCTGATCTAAATAATCAAATCAAACAACCCCAATGAACCGGTGCTGAGTCCACAAAACTGCAGAAGCTGCACAGATCCACCTGTCAGTCGCAGGTTTTATTATTCCTTCACTCATAAACAAAACCCTGAGATACTTGATATTAAACTTTCTAATGATGAAGGCCAAGAGGAGAAYATGACCAGGGTTGCACATAAAATGTTTGGTCTGGTCCTCAGGGGAGAACCTCGGGTTGTTGCTTGGTGCTCACTCATATTTTCCTTCACTCATTGAACACATTTATCTAGAGGGGCGTCAGGTCATCTAACGTCCCCCTGTTCTGTTTTATGACTCCTATCAGCTGAAACGTCTCAGGACATCATGTCAAATCAGTCCAACAAGTTTTTATTTTATTCTTTTACTCTGCATACATTTTGTAAACTACCTAAGTGTCCGAGGGGCTGGGTGTATGTCATATAAACATCACAAACTGAACATTTCATGGATAAATGTCTTTTAGACTAACACGTCCCTCAGATGGACAACTCCTGTTTGGTCTTTACTTCGGCCTTGATTAAACCAGCTTTCCACTCTCCAGTCCAAGCAGCAAATATCTGTCTTTCACACAGAGCAAAATAACTTAAAACATAAAAATGTTTTATTTGTTCGACTGATTTCTTTTTCAAGACTATTTTATTCAAAAATATTATATTATTAGATGGTTTCAGCTCATGTAATTATTTATTCTTCACATTTGATCATTTAATAAATTACAGGTGCTGGTCATAAAATTAGAATATCATGAAAAAGTAGATTTATTTCAGTAATTCCATTTAAAAAGTGAAACTTGTATATTA